TTCGGGCACTTTACCAGTACGAATGTAGGCATCAACAACGTCAGAAGGCAGCAACTGAGCTGGGGTTTCTGTGATGAGTGGTAGCTAAATGGTGTAGTTAGGTGCCTAAAGGTTCAGTTAAGCACCTAAATTCCCCTAATGACTCCAGCCCTTATTTGGTAAGAAATACTAGATATATTCTTCAGCAAACACCACAGAAGACAGAGAGAGAAATTTAAAAAAAAAAATCCTGGATTTAGATTTTCCTCATCTAATTTAGTGACTAAGGGAACAAATAACACTTTCGCTTTTTTGAAGTCATGGGTATACTTATGCATCTAGGTTATCAGGCTACCGGACAGCACATAAATTGCTATTCTATTTGTAATATTACAACTTACTTATGTTTCAGCAGTTGTCTCTTCACTTTGAAGTTGTAAAAGGTTCATGGCAAAAATATTTTACAGATGGTCTTGATGACACTTTAAAGGTTTCCTAATTCCTCTCCATAATAGTGTAGCAATGTAAGAAACTGTCTAAGTCCAGAGATGATGCACTAGAAAGGTTATCGTCCATGTGTCTAGCTCTGAAAGTGCATTGCTCATCATCATAAAATCATAGGATTGGAAGGGACCTTGAAAGGTCATCTATTCCAGTCCCTGACTCATGGCAGGACTAAGTATTACCTAGATCATCCCTGACTGGTGTTTGCTGAACCTGCTCTTAAGTCTACAACTTCTCTAGGCAATTTATGCTAGTGCTTGCCACCCTGACAGGAAGTTTTTCCCAATGTCCAAGCTAAACTGCCCTTGCTGCAATTTAAGCCCATTGCTTCTTGTCCTAGTTGCAGAGGTTAACAAGAACTGTTTTTCTCACTCCTCCTTGCAACAAACTTTTATGTACTTGAAAATTATTGTGTCCTGTGACAGGATCCCTGGCAAGCAAGCAAGCGGAGGGCAGGGTACTGCTCTGTCCCATTAACTCTCCAGCCTGGGCGGTCTCTTACAATGCTTTGATAGTGACAAGCATCAAACTCTTCCAGGCACAGTTATCACCCAGCCCAATAGCATATGGAGCCCCCGCCACACATCTGGATTGTATGAATACTCCCTGAGCCACTCATGAATCGCACAGAAAGGCACCAGGCAATCCCCCCCCCGCAGTTCCTGAGCCTTGCATCTCAGAACTGTAATATCTTGCCCTGGTCAGAAGCCTGACCAGTAGCCATATAAGTTTATTACCTTTCAACCCCTCCCTGTGTTGAGCTTATAAACTGAGCTGAGATTTTCCAAGCACTTCAACCAAAACATTGTTTTAGGTGAAATAAAATCTTTCTGTAGTTAATAAATCTGTTTTAAAGTGATTATAAATGGTAGGCACGAAAGGTCAGAGATAGTTACCAAAAAAATAAAAGGTAAGAATCATAGAATCATAGAATATAAGGGTTGGAAGGGACCCCAGAAGGTCATCTAGTCCAACCCCCTGCTCGAAGCAGGACCAATTCCCAGTTAAATCATCCCAGCCAGGGCTTTGTCAAGCCTGACCTTAAAAACCTCTAAGGAAGGAGATTCTACCACCTCCCTAGGTAACGCATTCCAGTGTTTCACCACCCTCTTAGTGAAAAAGTTTTTCCTAATATCCAATCTAAACCTCTCCCACTGCAACTTGAGACCATTACTCCTCGTTCTGTCATCTGCTACCATTGAGAACAGTCTAGAGCCATCCTCTTTGGAACCCCCTTTCAGGTAGTTGAAAGCAGCTATCAAATCCCCCCTCATTCTTCTCTTCTGCAGGCTAAACAATCCCAGCTCCCTCAGCCTCTCCTCATAAGTCATGTGTTCCAGACCCCTAATCATTTTTGTTGCCCTTCGCTGGACTCTCTCCAATTTATCCACATCCTTCTTGTAGTGTGGGGCCCAAAACTGGACACAGTACTCCAGATGAGGCGTCACCAATGTCGAATAGAGGGGAACGATCACGTCCCTCGATCTGCTCGCTATGCCCCTACTTATACATCCCAAAATGCCATTGGCCTTCTTGGCAACAAGGGCACACTGCTGACTCATATCCAGCTTCTCGTCCACTGTCACCCCTAGGTCCTTTTCCGCAGAACTGCTGCCTAGCCATTCGGTCCCTAGTCTGTAGCTGTGCATTGGGTTCTTCCGTCCTAAGTGCAGGACCCTGCACTTATCCTTATTGAACCTCATCAGATTAGCATAAGCATACAGTCTAAATCTTATTACAGTAGGCAGTATTGGGATCAAGCAGTTTTCTCACCTCACCCAATGTTACAGTTCTTAAAAACTTCAACTGAGGAGACTGATCCCAGGCTTATAAGGGTAAGCCTGTTGTATTATCTTCCCTGTGTTCATGTTGCTTCCAGCATAGATGGGAGAGGAGAAAGGCAAAAGCATGATGCCACTGTCTATTTTATATCCTCAATCCACGTGCCTGGAAAACATTAGCCCAGAGATGTTCCTGGTGGGCTTTGCTGAGTCACAGGGTTGAGCAATCCCCCATTATGTGGTGTGTGTCTTACAGAATTGTAAATCCCTTGCTAACAACTCCTCAGCCGAATAATGGGTGTGGAGCACCACCCTTGTTGTCACTGGGGAATTAGCAGTTGAGCCTCTCAAACTTCCAACATATTTCAGTAACAGCCATGCAGCAAAATCTCAACTTCATGCCTACTAACGGTATACATATTTGGATGGAACAATGGGTTTCAGTAGATCATGACTTTTTCATATATCTTACATGGCATGCTTTGTAATAAATATAATCATACAACAGGGATGAATATGGGGATTTGCTTTGAGGTTCAGAGTACCACCTGTCTTCCAGACTAAACAAATTTATTTCAGTCTTCCCTCATACGTCACGTTTTCTAGACCTTTAATAATTTTTGTTGCTCTTCTCTGAACTTTCTCCACATCTTTCCTGAAATGTGGCACCCAGAACTGGACACAACACTCCAGTTGGGGCCTAATCAGCAAGGAATAGAGTGGAAGAATTACTTCTCACGTCTTGCTTACAACACTCCTGGTAATACAGCTCAGGATGAGGTTTCTTTTTTTGCAATAGTGTTGACTCATATTTAGCTTGTGATCCCCCAGATCTCTTTCTGCAGTACTCCTTCCTAGGCAGTCATTTCCCATTTTGTATGCATGCAGCTGATTGTTCCTTCCCAAGTGAAGTACCTTGCATTTGTCCCTGTGGAATTTTATCCTATTTACTTTATACCATTAGTCCAACTCATTTTGAATTTTAATCCTATTCTCTAAAGCATTTGCCCCCCCTTCCCCCCTCAGCTTGGTATCATCCGCAAAACACTTCACCTTTCTGTGCTTCAATCGCTGCACCTGCAGCGAACACTTACCAACATTTCTAGAGTGGTTAGAGCTTCTCAGAGGAAAGTATTATTGTGTTGGTAAAGTATTACATTTGAATGAAAGAGAAGAGGCAATAGTTTTGGAATGTTGCTTATACTCAGTGATTCCACCCCTCCCTGCATAGAGGAAAGGTAGCTGATTACATTGTTGTAACAAAATGGATAGTGGATAGGAGATGTGGCCTTACCGGAGTAATGGTAAGAAAGTATTATTTTAGCAAGATGCATTTAAATATATATCTCTAGTTTGTCTATTTAGAAATCTGATTAAAATTATTTTGAGGTGTTCTGATAAACTGGCAACAGCAAAGCAGCACAATTTCTAATTCTATACTAGTCTCCTTTGCATCTGGAAGTCAACTCCCCTCACCCAGCTCATGTGAGAAAAGTTCATCAGTTCTCTAACCTTCTGGTGATGGATCTGAGACTGCTACCTTGACTTGTCATGAATCTATTTACATGATCAATATTAATTTAAAAATAGCCATAATGTGGTCACACCAAGCCTATAATTTTCTTCAGGCTCATCCTTAAAAGAGAACATACATACGCATCTCAGTGGAAAAAAAAAGTTTTCAGAAGTTTGTTCAAGGGGAAGAGAATTAACTGAAGCCTGAGATCTGGCAGATATCCAACATCTCACCTCAGTTCTTATATAAGGAAGTTTAAAATAGACACAATTTAAGGTTATGGAAAGGCGTGAGTGGAAAAACTAGTTCTTTAAAATACTAATGTTATTAAGTACAGCTTGAGATTTCTCTACAGTGGCTGTTGTAGAATCTCGGAGGGTAAAAGGAGTATAGTAGGCTGAGCATTTATGCCAGTACATTTTAATAAATATAGTGCTGTTCTCCAACTCGTACATTAACTTCTAAACCTAACCAGGAAACTTCAAGTTAGAAATCCATACTCACGCTTTTTAGAGTTAGGCCTGCATACACTGTGGGTTAAAAAAATCCAACCACAGTTCTGTATCCACATTTTGGGAAATGACCACCAGCCATTACGATCTACTGAACTAGCTCCCCCACTCAAAGCACCCTGAACTTTAGGGCATTTGCCATCTGGATTTGAAAATTCTGGCTTATCTTTAACATTTTAATGAAACTTTTTTAGTGGTTCAAGATTTTCAGTGCGGTAGGCAAAAATCTATTTTCATCTTTTGTCACCCTAACAAAAACATGCCTACTAAAGTTGAAGGGGCAGTACAGAGATGCAATCTGAAAAACATCATATTGCAATTCCTTAAAACGCTGCTTATTTTCTGAAAAAATGTGACAATAATTCAGCCTTATTATTTGACTTATGTAGTTGGCCCAACATGCAGTTGTCAGATTCATTTTGATGAATTTCTGTTGAAAGAATGTGTATATTAATTATATTTTAAAGCCAAATAAATAAAGGTTTTAAAACATTCTGTGCCTATATAAAAATATAGCTCTGAGACCATGGCCCTCAAAGACCACTAGATGTCAGCATAAAACATTAACATAATTAAAAGCAAAAGCTTATTTGTTCTAGTTATTGTATCTGTTACCTTGCAATCAAAATACAGTACACTCAACTAAATAATTACATTCTAAGTGTATGTTCTAGTAATACATTTGTTAATGGAAATTAACAAACACAATCTGATTTCAATTTTCTTTATTTTATTTAGTTTAATTTAAATGACTGTGATTAAGTCATATAGTCTCATGATCAAGAGAAGGCCCCAGAATATCATCTAGATCTTAACATTTCAGTTTTTTTAACCATTTTTAGTTGTGCATTGATAGGGACTTCTCAGTTCAGAAAACAAGGCACTCTAACTATTTTATCAGCTACGACAATACATGGATACATGTTCCTTTCCTCTAAGTACATCATTTGAATACAACATGGTTTTATGCAGATCAGATTCAAAACATCCAAGGCACACACTTGTTTTCCTTTGTGTGTGTTTTGAAGCATCATTGAGTTAGGATTTCCGATAACCATACTGTTCCAGGTTAGTCGCACTGGACAGTATTTTGTTGTGGTCTTGGACATAAAACTGTGAAGACTGTGAAATGCAGAAACATGTTACAGGAACAAGAGAAAAAAAACCACCAATATAATTTGGATAATAATATAAATTATTAAATATTCTGCTCTCAGAAAACTGGTTGTATAACCACCTTGATTCCCACATAGAATTAGCAGTTCCACAGCATGCTATAGTTGTGTATTACACAACTATTTTTATGATTAATTTGATCATCTACTGACATGTATACTGACAGATACAAAGATATTCTGTATAAGTGAATTATTAAAATACCTGAAATAAAACAAAGCTGTTGATATTAGAATAATATGTAGGAAAACAGGAAATAAATAAAAAAAAAGTAGAAGAAATAGATCATCATGCCAGGAAAAAAAAGGAAGTATTAGATATAAAACAGAATGACTGCCGTTAAAATATTTATTTCAATATCTAAAAAAATTCTTCAAGTTACAATTAAAGATAGAAGAAGAATGTGGAGCCCAACTTATCCAAAGTACTAATGAAGTCTGGCGGTAGTGACTATCGCAAGAGGTCTGGACTCTGGATAAGGACTGCTGCTGCTTTTTCTTCACTCTTTGTAATGCGGCTCTCTCCTACAAAAACCGTTAGAATTTCACCAGATTGCTAGGTAGGCCAACAATTCAAATGTCTTGCATAATCAGCTACACTTATTTGATAACACCAAAATAAAGACCGACCTCAAGTCCAGAAAAATGATCAGCTGAAATCACTTCCAAGCCAAAAAAAAAAAAAAAGTTCCATCACTTAACGCAAAAAGAAAAGGAGTACTAGTGGCACCTTAGAGACTAACCAATTTATTGGTTAGTCTCTAAGGTGCCACTAGTACTCCTTTTCTTTTTGCGAATACAGACTAACATGGCTGCTACTCTGAAACCCATCACTTAACAAAATTCTTTACTTTTCAAATCTTATATGTAAATCTGAAATTCAAAACCTATTTGGTTTCAGCATTAAAAATCTTTAACTAAAAGATAAACCAAAGCAAACTTCCCCCCCTAATATTTGATAAACCCATTTTCTCTCTAGCTATATGCAGTTAAAGCATTTTCTGCTGTTTCAATAACGTTACATTAGATTGTAAGTTTGGCAACTTTTTAACAAAAATTCAGACAGCTTTCACTGTTTGCAATCAGAACCACAACCTTAGTGCAATATTATATTTATTTCTTACAGGAATTTTGGTTGCCATACAAGAGTATTAAGGATCGGGGAAAGTGCAAGTTACAGGAGCTTGATTTTTAATCAATTCGAAATAAGAGGAATTAAAGCACAAAAATTACAGCAACATAGATAACGTGAACACAAATTGTTACACAAACTATATTGAGAAACATTAATATCTAGAAAAGAAAAGAAAAAATGTAATGGAAAAATTATCAATATTTGTGGCTTACACACAATCATTGCCAGATCAACTGGGTAATGCTTGTTTAAGAACTCAGAAAATCACTATTTTTATTAACTTAAGTACCACAAATAATTAGCTTTTGTGATATGTAAATTCTGTAAATCAACAGTCACATCTAGTCATTTTATAATATATGAATGAAACTTAAAATGTTCCCAGACACTCAGGGAAAGGAGCCTGCAGTTATACACAATTTACATCTTGTGTGATTTTGGTATTGTATACACAAATATTACAGAAACTAGGCATGTAAATGCAATTTATTTAAATTACAGTATATAAACAAAAGTTGATCCTAAAACCTGGAATATCATAACATGTTTCATAGATCTCTAACATTTTCTTCTCCACTATCATAGTAGCGTGAAATAATAGGGCCATTCCCCCACCCCCACATTTTCAAAACTGATGAAAATACTAGGACTTATATCTGTTACTATTGCTTTCTGTAGCAAAGTCATCAAACAGAGCTAGAGACCAATTCATCTCGGCAGAGGTGTATTTTATTGGTAAAAGTAGATCCTTTCAGGCCCTGTTACCCTTTAGATAGTAAGACACAATGTAAAAATAAACTATTTCATTAGCTCTTTAGTGTTTTTAATCTCTGTTCTACTAATTATACTGTACCTATTCTTTAAGTGCCTGAAAAGATACATAAGCAAGAAACAACACTTGTTTAAGAAAGGGATTACCATCAGCTGTAATTTACTTGTGTATGTCAGCACTCATTAAACCTAAATTCAACAATAAGATTGTGATTAAAAAGCAGCTTAAAAGTCATCTTCTACATTTTCTTTTACTACCGTATTATCTAATGTATTTTCTGGCACATATTATAGAGGTAATACCAACTGTAGTCAAAGAAACAAAAAGGAGCATGGTATTAGTGGTTTATTTACTGAATTCTGTAATATCACCAAATGGAAGACAATGATGGCTGAATTACCATTTTTACACTTTTTATAGTATTTGATGGCCTTAAGGTGCCATTATTGAATATCTGAATGAAAATGTCATTCTCTGCAACAATAGCCATGTAACTATGGAAAAACTCAGTACTCTTGAAAGTAAAATGCCTCAATATTTGATTTTTATTACAAGGTTACTTGGAATTTTCAAATACAAATATAGACCTGCAAAGGGTGTAATAACAGATGTTAAGTCAAAAGAGTTGTTCCATAAAGGGGGCAGGAGGTTGAATAGTTGCTTTGCTAATGCATTGTTAATTGTGTAATCACTTTTGAAGAAGTATTCATCCTCCTTTGAAGAAGTTCTAGGAAAAATAGAAAATATAACACAGCTCTGCTGGTTCAGATGCATCCAAATGAGGTTGATTTAAAAAGGTCAAGACTTATTATTCCACAGAAATAGTATTAAACCACAAAAGTGTTTTTTTTTTGTATTTTTTGTATTTATTTATTTTTTTAAGTTTTTAACATTCTAGCACTGAAGTGGCACAAAGGCTGCCCAGTAGACCAGCCACTTATTTTCTTAAAATATTGTGCTTATAAACTATCTGTACAACTATTTAAACTTGCAGTAAAGAAAGGTATTTAAATTGCTAAACTTTATGTACTTGTTCTAGGGCTGTTGCAGACCTAATTAGACACTTGATTGTGAGAAGAAAAAAAAATTATAATTAGAGATCGGCTGGACCATAGCAAGGGAAAAAAAAATCAGGAACCTTCCAAAAGATGGGAGAACCTGATGGTATGGTAGGTTGAGAGTCTGGCTGTCCATACATGATGTGCCTACCTTGAACAGGTTGAATGTTCAGAAAGCAAGACCCACAAAACTCTTACAAAAATTAATAGAGGTGTTAATTATAAAAGGGGTCAGATAGAGAAAATTGTTAACTTTAAAAAAAAAAAATCAAATCTGCCAAAATGGTGTATCCCCAGGACACACAGAGAGTGCAGAACCAGTCAACGATCAACTCCAAAGTCGGGCCAATTGTCTGTAATGCTGATCAGGGCTTGATGGATCACTCTCTGGACCCTGCCACTAATAATTTCTGATTACAGTAAAGAAGTCACTAGAGAGTGATGGGAAGCTTTCTGCTCCTGCTTAGGCATTGACTATGCTTCCTCTGCCAACAGCCCAACCCAGACTAGCCAGGAAATGGAAATGAGGAACCAAGTCAATAAATCTGGACCTCTCTGTTTTCCTGGCCTTTTGGAACACTTGCATTCTAGGACACCACATGTCCCCTCCCTTGTTAACATTTACCCTTTAAATATGTTTTTAAACTGTAGAAGATCACCTGCTGAAACATTTTTATTTCTACTAACAGGCCTTATCCTGCTCCCAGGTAAGTGAGTGGCAACATTCCCACAAACTTCCATGGAAGCAATATCCTGTCTTCTATCCCAGTTTTTCAGAGTTGTTGAGCACTTGCAACTCAATGAATTAAGCAGGATCTGTGGGGGCTCAGCATATTTGAAAAATCTGACTATAAAAGTCTAAAGATGCACATGGACACAGTATAGCTAACACTCGTCACAACCATATTTTAATCTGCTCAGATAGTCAATGTTAGGCCTCATTAGCAGTTTATCTGGCTGCCAAATGGGGGTGTCTGGTTCAAACTAGCCTCATTTCTTTGTATCTCAGAGAATGCTCTTCCAGTCTATACATAGTTTCCACATTCTACTTATCACATCAGTACACCATGTTTAAAACCTGTTCTGCTACCTTGGAACTGTGCTAAATATAAACGCAGAAATAAAGAAATACCTAAGTAAAGCAGAACAGTTACCTTTGAACAAGAGTCTCCAACAGCACTATCAGCTTCACTGCCAACAAACCAAAGATCTACACTGGATCAAAATGACATTGTGAAAGAGGGGGTGAAGTAATGCTTCTGCTATTTATTGATTAAAAACGGGTAAAAAGAAGTTAAGCATGTGAGGATCTATTTAAAAAAGCCAAAAAGGGGAAAAAAGTTGAGATTCCATGACAAGAGTGTCAAGAACAGATTACCCTGGATGGCAGGGGAGCGGTGTATATAAAATAAGGTGTTTTCTGCTCAAAAATGAAATGCTTGTGGTTTTAAACCAAAAGAAAAAACGTACATGTTCTGGGTCCAGCTGAAGGGCATCATAAATGGATAGGTAATATTTCAAAGTTAACAATTATCTTTTGTCTCTATCTCCACCCCACACCTCCCCACCCCGACCTTTGAAATAAAATAGCCCCATTAATTTCATTTACTTGGGTTTAAGCTTGGGCACTAAACATACAGTCTGCATTACCGAGTACCAGCAGCTAAATTAAACCTTTTCTTCTTTTGCTGGCACTCACAGACAGCCAAGACATTTTGCGTATTTCAGTACCAGCCCATCTCTATTTATAACAGAAGTTTGAGAGGCAAGAGTAGCCATTTTTATCTGTCCAGTAGCTGTTTCAAAGCTCTTTCTATATTCATTCTGTGCCCAACTCTAGTCACTCCAAGGTCTATCAAGTCTTCCTTCTGAAGGTTTGGTAAATGGGTGCCATCTATTTCATTGTCCATGAAGGTCTCTTTATGTTCACCTAAGTTTAGACTTTCCAACCAATCTGCCACATCTGGTTTAGTCCACAGGTGGACAGGCTTAGTTGTAAAAGGCTTATTTGAGATTGGCTGTTGCAATATTGAGGGAGAAGGAGACCTGCTGCGACCTGTGTTCAAGCCAAATAAGTCCCCAGAAGGAGGCTGGCTGGGTAGGCTAAATACATCAGAGAGAGTTGGAGAAGGAGATGAAGCTGAAGCAGCAGGTGTCAGAGGAGCAGGCATGATGTCTTTGTTAATCTCTGTTGGTGAAACCACAGGGCTTGGAGCATGTCTCACTCCTGATGTCCTACTGTCATAGTCTGGGGACCTGCTCTGCAATGTGATGGGCTGGCTGGGTCCAGGCCGGACTGTAAAAGTGATGGTTGTACTTCGTGTACCTGAGACAGTGCTCATTACTTCTGTGCTCCTGAAATTAAAAACAGAAAACATCCAGAAACGTCAGCAACTGAAGGAAGGATTTTCCTTACCAACAAGAGAAAAAAGTGGCTTTGGAGTAACAAAAATGAAGTTTGGTTTTTTTTTTTTTTGGACAGATCTCACACATGAATGTACTTTTTGTAACAAGGTCAGGTTAAGGCACAAGCACCAAGAAGTTTCCACAGTTCTTTCCCACAAAACAAACCCAACTCTCTATGATCAATGGTAAGCCATATCATCATTATAAATTAAAATCTTGCCTATGAGACGTTTAAAAAAATCCAGAGAACATGATAAATTTACATTTTCTGCCCTCTCGATGGTCTCTATAAAGTAATACAAAATTAAATGAGAAACTTAATGTTACAAAAAAAAGGACTCTTCGGGTATGAGTTCTAGATATGTAACTAGGGCATGAAGTTTAGCTCTGAATATGAACACCCCTCAAATACTAGGAGTGGTTGGTTTTGGTTTGGTCCCCTCTCTGACTAAGTCAGGATTTAAATCTCACACAGTGAAATAGGGTAGCTAAAAAAATGCAGAGCTTAAACATGAATTTGAAACTTACTTGAAGCATGTTATTTACTTTAGCTTTGAACTTAAAAATATCAAATGACGAGTTAATTTTAGTGCCTATTTTGATTCCTACTCATTTATATAAAAAGTTTCCTGAATCTCTTCAAATGATCCCTGCAGAGACCACCTCTTAGTTTAGTCTTTAAGTGTCCACTAAAGCCTTTGCTGACATTGCCTAGTGAAGGTGCCAATAATTTATATGGATATGGGTACAGGGGATTGGCATTACCAATCTTTTGGTGGAGATTATGACTTTTGTTTATGTTTATGAAAACTACTGACCTGGGCAGCATTTGAACTACCTACCTACCTACCGGTTAAAAGCTCTTTATCCCTTTACAAATACCTTGGGCCATCCAGTCACTGTTTTTTGGAAAATTTGCTTCCAATATTTTTTGACAACAAACAGGCAACCCATCATAAGTGTGACGAGAGTACCAATCAACCAACAGCAAACCAAATTTATGTTTTAATAGTCAGTTCTTCTTTCCTCCCACAATGTTGCCACTTTCGGTTTCCCTAATCAGATTTTTTTTCCCCATGGCAAATGACTATCTGTTCCTCATGATGAAAAACTTTCCAGTTATAATTAGATGATCAAGGTGGACATCTCAGGCCTTAAAAATCTATGAATCTATTTTCCTTTTTGTTAAAATGACAAATAAAATAGGTTTTCAGTTTTAATTTATTTGGCACAGCTCCAGTTACTGTGGGTCAAATTTTGTAAGATGCTAGGTGCCTTCAACTCCCTTTGACTAGAAGGAGAATTGAGGGTGCTCAGAGTTTTGACAGCTCAGTCACTTGAACAGCAAGTGTATAATAAAAATATGGCCTGCCTACTTTTTTGTGAACAATGCGGGGATGTCTATTTGTGCCCTGGAAAATGGTTTAAATGACGTGTTAAGTGATGCAGTTCCAAAGTTATACAATCTGGCTACCATGAAAATGGTTAAATTTAATCTGACTATTTCATCAACTGGTATTCTACAGGCATATTAATTTTGAGCCAATAGTTCATATAGATGTTCAAATACAAAACACCTGTACTAGCAGTATACACTATTTCAATTATATTCACTGTGATGACAGCTAAAGGTCAGATAAATCAGATTTATCTGAAAAGCTCAGAGTAACACAACATATCAATTCTTAGCAGGGCCTGATCCTGCAAAGCCTTTTTTTTGAGTAATTTGTATGCACACAAGCAGTACTAATTTCACACAAACCATTTCACAGGTTCAAAGGGAACAGGCAAAATCTTTTAAGGCTTGCAGGGTCAGTCCTTTAGTTACTCCAAAAGTATATTAGGAGCCATAGTTTCAGAATTTAGCTATTATTGCACAGTATTGTAATTTGACCAAGAAAGGTAAAAATCTGCAAGGTTTTCAGTACCTTCTTGTGAGTTTCTTATATCCTAATGGCTCTCAGCACCTTGCAGCATTGAGCCCAAACAAACAGCACTAGCAGATTGTAAGACATATATAGTAGGAAAGAAATCAGTGAACCAAGAGAAGTAAATAACTTTACTAATTTTAACTTAGAATTAAGTGGCCACACTCAAATTCCTCAATAAGGCTAGACACCATTTGAAGACCATGGTAGTTTTGCTATGAAAAAGAAGGATTGCACTCTATGGCCATGATTTATATAAACGGCCTAATCCACTAGCATGTGAAAACCTCTCCATATGCCTCCACCTACTGTGTGTCTTTGATTTAACTTTCCTATACTATTATAAAAAAAACCAACACAGTTTGATTATTAATCCATGTGCATCACAGTGGTGCCAAGGGTCCCCATTGTGCTAGGCACTGATATTTTCCTGTTGCATAGCAGTGATATAACTGACAACATTGGGTTCCACCTCCATCTTCCACTTCAAAACGTACAGTCACTGCACATAAATTACTGCTGTAATGGACTCCAAGTATATATTTGTTCAGAAAATCATTACTGTACCTTTTACATCTAAACTGCATTATGCAGTATGTTCTTATCATAAATATTTATACTATTTCTATGGCACTGTCTGATAGATGGGACAAATCTGTTTTAGTTGATTAATGAAAGACATTAGCAGCTCTATCTCAAACAAACATACTGTAATGATAACATTTACACTTTTATAGCACCTTCATTCCAAGAAACCCAGAACACCCCACTAACATTAATGAATTTAACTTTACAATTGCAAGCCTCCTCTGAGGTAGCTGTTAACATCGTTGTACGGATGGGACAATAGACACAGAAGTTCTGTGACTCAACCAAGGTCACATAAGAAGTCTGTGGCACAGCAAAAATAGAACTCTCCTCCTTTCCTCATTCCTAGTCCTGTGCCTTAAATCACACAAGCCTCCTTTGGCTGTCCTTACATGCCATGCCAATCATTGCATTAAAACATGTGCTATACAGAAATCTATATAGCTTCTTCAGCATACTCAGTGTCATAACATGAGACCATCGTACATTTGTGTAAGAAAAAAATTGAGTAACTCCCATTCTGCCGATGGTTTGTTATTCCTTTTCTATGGCAACTATGCTATTCTAGACTCTTTGAATTAATTTTCTTTCCTTTCATTTCTGTTTTTTAAAAAGCTATATACGAAAGACTACATATTGGTTCTCTACTGTTGTGTGGCTCATCGTTAAGACAGGAAGGTCAACAAACGGTAGCCAATGGATTCATATATTCTAGTTGGTGAATATAAAGGTGTGAGTGTTTGATCATATTATAGTAGGGATATGAATGTTCTCCTGCCTAAAACCAAATTTCTTTATAAATTACAGACTGAACTCTTTCCCTCCCTTATTTGCATACTTGAAAAGGTAAAGAACATGATGATTATTTTAAATAAATCTATCCCTGTTAAGAATCAGCAAATGATAATATTTTGGTGTAGGTTTCAGAGTAACAGCCGTGTTAGTCTGTATTCGCAAAAAGAAAAGGAGTACTTGTGGCACCTTAGAGACTAACCAATTTATTTGAGCATAAGATTTCGTGAGCTACAGCTCATTTCATCGGATGCAATCTTATGCTCAAATAAATTGGTTAGTCTCTAAGGTGCCACAAGTACTCCTTTTCTTTTGGTGTAGACATTCACTTGTGTGTGATTGCACTGGTTGCAATGCATATTACACTGTCTCATATGACATCATAATATATAAAGTACTGTGTCACAATGGTGTGTTTCTCAAGTGAAAAAACAGTCCATGTGGCTTGCAAACAAGAAATCTTACTAGCTAATTCTGAATCATATTTGCATGATTTAAAATTAAAAATACAAGGGTGTATTTAACAGAGATTCAGTGGCTGACAGCATGCTGCAGTGTATTCCATGGCTCCCTTGCAGGAAAGGGGAGAGGGGGAAAACAACAAAACCCTGCATTATGCTCTCATCAGAGTTATTTTTATATAGTGACTTGCCTAAAGGCCTGCTGTCTATGACAAAGCTCTTCCACCTTCTTTTAGGAAAAAAAGTCTTAGCGAAAGAAAGAGCCAATAATATATAAATAGCAATACAGTACGAAATAAGGTTATTCAAGCCCTAACTTGTGGAAACAAAAATTTTCTTTAATCACAAATGTTTGTATTTTACTTCAGTTCAGCACAATAGACAAACTGAAAAGCTATTTGCCAGAATCTGTTTGCTAGCGCGATCAGAAGAGGCCCTTGGGTCCCATTGTGAGGTGGTTTATGGGAGGAAGGAAGTGAGGCAGGATCACGAATCCTGGTCCTGGGGCTGGTGAAGATAAGGGACAGTGTGCGGGTTGGTGGGGCACAGAGTATTTTGCTGAGTAGTTAGTTCAGTGTTAGCTAGGAAGGATTGGGAAATGGTCTGTGAAGGGAAGTCTCTGTTCAGGGGATATGGTTTCAGTGGGAGCAAAATAAGATGCAACTTCATTTTGTCAAAGTATGAACAAAACTGATCTGTGGCCAAATAACTCATTTATTACTGGAGTTTATTCAGTTGGTTCAATAATGAAGCAGACTCATGTGAAAATGGTAAAGCAAAGCAAGAGGATACTATGAGGCTATGTGGCTGCGTGTGAAAAAGCTAGTTGAATCATCATCTGGGATCAATGTAGTGAGTGGGTTTTGCTGTTGAACTGTCCTGCGCTGTCCCAGGTGAATGATTGCTTTGGAGAAACTCTGTATGATCTGACAAATTTTGTGAATTAAAATATTGCAGAAACATTGGTAGTTAACTCATTTTGCAAACATAAAGAAGTCACCCACTAGTGAAGGGGGAAAAAAGAGAGCTTTATCCAATAGAATAATAGTATGTAAACAACACATAAAACCCCCACAAACACAACAGCAAAGCTCTGAGCACACCACATATTTGAAAATCAGGCCACTTATTTAGGCACCTAAATATGGATTTAGGAACCAATTTAAGAATCTTTGCTGAA